GATCTCAGAAACCCTTTTCCAGATGAATAGAGACCAGCTACAAAAGTTTATTCAATATTTAATCACTGCACACCACACTGAAGTTCTTCCTACTGCACAGAAACTGGCAGATGAGATTCTGTCCTCCAACTCAGAAATCAACCAAGTGAATGGTAATTGTATATTTTTGTTGCTAAGAATGGTCTTTTTCACTACCACTGTGACCAAAGCAACCCTTTTCTCTCCACTGTCTTTACTGCATGTGTAGAGGTTGGAATATTTCTACAATTGTAAGCGTTTAACCTTAGTTTATATGTATATACAAACTACATAGTTTATTCTATCCAAACTACTATGTTTGATTTTTAGTTTCTTAAAGCAATCTAGTTATCTACCTCTGAAAGATTTTGGCATGGGGTAATGGTAATATTCTATTTTTTGTCTTTGGAGATAGTTACAATCATGTGTGACAATTCATCAATCTGCATACTTAAAATTCGTGAATGTTTCATCATTTATATTATAGTAAAAATGTTTAGTTAGGGGCCAGCTGGTGGCATGGTGGTTTAGCTAACTAGATGCCCACATAGTTGACCACTATTCAAGTCTGGACCTGGCAGCTTGCCTTCTCATTCTATCTCTCTGTCTTTCTTTGGTGAGCACATGTGCTCCATAGAAAATTTTAAAATGATGTGGACCAGCAGCTGGCATAATGGCTATGTCACTGGACTCCCATGTAGCCAATCGCAGTTCAAGTCCCAGACCCAGTGGCTTAAATTCACGCCAGGTGTGTGGGCATGCGTGCCCAAGATCCCGAGAGGAGAATGGAGGAGAAAGGATTGCGGTGTGGCCATCCCCCTTGGGGTGATTTCTTGCTTTCTGTCTCTCTGTCTCTTTCTGTCTTTCTGGTGAGTGCACACACCGTATAGCAAAAACCTTTTGGGAAAAAAAAAGAGAGAAAATTTAAAAATGATAATAAGGGGACCAACAGGTGGCGTGTAAATGGTGCTTTAGTGTTAGTTTGAATTTCTCTTCAGGATTATAAGAGAAATGGTGATAAGTGAAGACAAAATGGGACAGATATCTTTTATGAATAATTATGAAGAAACAAAACATTGTGTGGGTTGATACACCAAGTTAGCACTGATACTATAGACCTGTCCTGAGGGAGCTATGAAGCCTGAGAAAGTTCTCTCATTCTTAAGTTTGCTTTTTTTTTCTTAACTATAAAAACAACACATGCTTATTATAGAAAATACATTAAAACGTAAAATAAAGACGCACCAGCGTCTTTAAAGGTGTTGGACTCCCATATGGCCAACCATGATTCAAATCCCAGACCTTGCAGCTTGCTTTCTCACTTTCTCTTTCTTTCTGTCTCTCTCTATCTCTTTCTCTCGCTCTCTTCCCAACCCTCCAGGCAAATTAAAACAAATAAAGTTAAATAAAGTAATTATTTTAAAGAATAAATTTAAAAAGTGATAGTCAGTAAAACTAAATAATTCTTTTTGAAAAATGTTTGGTTAATTTAAGAAACTGTGTATATTTATACATACATCTGTATTTGTACAGGACAAAAGACTAGAAGGAAATACACCACCATATTAACAGTGGTAATCTATGGCAGATTTTTTTTTTTTTTTAAGAATTATTTTATTGGGGAACCAGCAGTTAGCGTAATGGCTATGTCGCTGGACTCCCACGTAGTCGACCGCGGTTCGCGTCCCGGACCCGGTGGCTTAAAACTCACGCCGGGCGTGTGTGCGTGCGTGCCCAAGATCCCAAGAGGAGAATGGAGGAGAAGGGATTGCGGCGTGACCATCCCCCCTAGGGGGTGATTTCTCGCTTTCTGTCTCTATGTCTCTCTCTGTCTGTCTGGCGAGCGCACGCGCCCTACAGTGAAAATCTCTCCAAAAAAAAAAAAAATTATTTTATTTAACTTTATTTATTTATTTATTTTTAATTTTGACCAGAGAGGGACACAGAGAGAGAGACAGAGAGAGAGAGACAGAAAGCAAGAAAGCAAGCTGCCAGGTCTGGACGTGAGCCACAGTTGACCATGTGGGGAGTCCAGCGCCCCTAACTACCATGCCACCTGCCAGCCCCTCTGGTGCATCTTTATTTTATGTTTTAATGTATTTTCTATAATAAGCATATGTTGTTTTTATAGTTAAGAAAAAAAAAGCAAACTTAAGAATGAGAACTTTCTCAGACTTCATAGCTCCCTCAGGACAGGTCTATAGTATCAGTGCTAACTTGGTGTATCAACCCACACAATGTTTTGTTTCTTCATAATTATTCATAAAAGATATCTGTCCCATTTTGTGTTCACTTATCACCACTTCTTTTATAATCCTGAAGAGAAATTTAAACTAACACTAAAGCACCATTGACACCGACCAGGTCTACTTTATTACTACTGATGATGAGTAGTTTCATATTCATCCCCTTTTATGGAAAGACTAAAATGTTCTAACCGGTGAACATGACATTTGAATTTGATTTGATTTGACTTGATTTTTAAGCCAGAAGTTGTGTGGGTTTTGTTTTGTTTTGTTTTGTTTTGTTTTTATATTTTACCTGGGAATTAATGAGGGGCAGCTGAAGGAGCCAGTTTGTGAACTCCAGGTCTAGTTTATTTAGTCAAAATGATCTGTGTTCATTCAAAATCCTTTTCTTTATTTTTAGTTACTCCAAAATATACATTCTTATAGATTAATCTTAAATGTCCTCTTCTTGGGGCCAGCAGGTGGCATGGTGATTAAAGGTGCTGGACTCCCGCATGACCAACCACGGTTCAAGTCCCAAACCCTGGAGTCTTGCTTTCTCACTTTCCCTCTCTCTTTCTCTGTCCCTCTCTGGTCAAATTAAAAAGTAAATAAATAATTACAATTTTCAAAAATGTTCTCTTCTTATTTTACAGGATCTCTATAGACAATCTCAACTACATTCTTGACTTTAAATGTCATCTATGTGCTATGACTCACAGAAATATTTCTCCAGCTCAGATCTTCTGACCTTTAGAATATGTATCCAACTATTTCATATCATAGAGACATCTCAAGATCTCAAGATGAACATATCAAAGTGTGACTTTATGATCTTCTTTGTCCAACTTGTTTATCCTCCTGTAGTCACTATCTCAATAAATAGCACCACCATCTAGCCACTGGGTCATGATAGAAACCTTATAATCATCTCTGACACTTTTTTTTTAATATTCTTCATGTATTCTATTATAAAATTTATCAATTTTTCTTTTTAAATATATATTTAATAATTTCTACTTCTCTCTAGTGATATTACTGTCACCCTACAGTATACCACTGTAAGTTTCTCACCAAGATTGCTACTATAATAGCCTTCTAACTGATCTTTCCATACCAGCTGTTACTTCCTTGGGTTCCACTCTCCATGAGACATTCAAGATGATTTTTCTATAACTGCAGATATTATCATATTGCTTATTTAAAATCCTTCAATGATTTTCTACTACTATCAAGATAAAGTACAGGGCCACAGCCCTGTGGCCTGGTGGTTAAAGCAGTTGGGTCCCACTTGACTGATTGCACAGTTCAAGTCTTAGACCTGGCAGCTTGATGAACGTGCCATGTGTGTGCGTGCATGCATGCTCAAAATCTAGGCAGGAGGGAGAAACAGAAGAAAAGGATTGTAGTGTGATCATCCCCCATGGTGGTGGTGGTTGGGTGCTTTCTTTCTTTCCTCTGTCTTTCTCTGTGTCTCTCTCTAGTGAGCACACATGTCCTCTGACAAAGTAAAAACAAAAAGATAACACTTTTTTTTTTTTTTAAATTTTTGCTGTAGGGCACATGCACTCACTGGAGACAGAGAGAGAAAGTAAGAAATCACCTCCCTGGGGGGGATGGCCATGCTGCAATCTCTTCTTCATTCTCCTCTCAGGATTTTGGACATGCACACACATGCACCCGGCGTGTGTTTCAAGCCACCAGAACTGGGACTCAAACCACAGTCAGCCATGTGGAAGTCCATCACTATAACCACTGTGCTACCTGCTGGCCCTGATAAAGTGCAAATTTCTATGGCCTGAAAAACCTGCATGACCTGGCTTTTGCCTACATTTTCACATAATAGTCTCTCCTTGAGAAAAAAAATCTTCTCTTCCTATCCTCCTCTTTTATGATAGTTGTATTTAATTACCAAAGTAATTTACAACTTTATGTTAGTTTTGAACCAAAAAATACACACAATATGTCCTCTACTCTCTTCCAGGGCCTGTTCGTTCCTCAGGTGTTGCCCTAAGTGTCATTTTTCTTTTTTAGGGATGTCTCATTTGACTCCTTTTCAACACAAAAATGTGTATTTGTGATTATTGGCTTAACATCTCTCCAGAAAGTCTAAAAGCTCAGTGAGGACATGGAGTATATCTGCTTTATTAATCACTCTATATGCAATATTTGACAGTTTCTATTGCATATCAGTCTCTCAGTAAATACTGGTTGAAGAAATGAAAACGTCTTGTGAAATTCTTCTTGGGGCCAATTCATGCTCTTTGCAGGTGACTTTGATTGTCTCAGCAGTTATACCAACTCCCTGGATCCACAAATGCTGCTTTTTCTCCCTTTTTTCTTTGCATCTCAATCACTCATTTTGACAGCCCAGCTTCTTATCTTCTAGTCTATTGCAGATCAGCAAATATTTACACAGTTTACCTTCCTTTCTCACCTATCAGGTAAACAAATGTTTTTGAAGTTTGGAACCCTTTTAAAATTTTACTTCTAGTGCCAGCAGGTGGAGTGATGGTTAAGGGCACTGGACTCCCACATGACTGACTGTGATTTGAGTCCCAGACCTGGCAGCTTGCTTTCTCACTTTCTCTCTCTCTGTGTCTCACACACACACTCTGTCCCTATCTGGTCAAATTAAAATAAAATTTTACTTCTAGTAACACTCAAGGCTTTGCCTTATTGTTTTCCAGTCCCAGCAGTTTTCTGTATTTGGCACACAAGATATTTATAAATGTGCCTTTTTCCTTCTATAGATTCTGCCACACCACCACTTGGACCCCAGGGAGGTCCTTCAAATCCTTAGGGGGGATATCACTCCACACTTCTAACCAGTTGATTAAGGCCAGCTCTCCTGGGAGACTGGGTCCTATTTCTAGGTTTTTGGTTTTTCGGATCCTAACTGGACC